AGTCAGTTCCTAAGGATATACTGACCGCTGCGATGGAAGAGATCGAAATCAACGAAGTGTACGACGAGGCCATCATTCTGGACACCGAGTCCAGCGATGGCGACTCGATTGTGGCCAACAGTCAACCGACAGACACGACTTCGACGGCCGCGGCCACTGATCCACAGTCGGACGACAATTCTGTGTTAATCTTCTCCGGCGTGTCCGACAACATGACGAGCGAAGAGTTGATGCAATTGATTAACAGCAACGGCTATTCAATGGTCGTCGAGAATGACTCTCAAGAGGTATTAGTGGTTTGAATGAGAGGGTGATTGAGAAGCCGTTTTGTAAACTTTGATTTGCATTTTAGGCCCAATTCCTGAAGGATACCGACGATCAGCCGCCGGAACAACAGCCAGAGGCGGACGAAACGCATTCCGATACGGATATTGTGTTTCAAATCGACGACAAGATGTTGGCCAACATTCCAGAGTCGGGTGACGTCGAGGTTCAGTTCGTGATGATGGACGCCGAGAACCAATCGCCGCCGCCTGAGCTGAACGTCACTAACAGTGACACTAATGTTACCGCCGATGGCGGCGACACAACTCTAGTCACAAACCAAAACGACGCCCAAAGCAATGAAAATAGTGGTAATAAATTGGCGGAAAAAGTTCAAAATAATGGCACAGAAGTGGACGCCGAGCGCGTCGTAGAGGCCGTACAGACACTGGCGACCACTCCGGCGACGCCCACGCAATACATATCAATGCCTAATCTGTTCTCATTGGGCGCGCCGTCCGATGAGAGGATTGTGGTCAACAGTCCCGACAGTGACGACAATGAGTGCCACAACGAAAACAGTGCGCAAAACAATGAGATATCGGTTGAAGAGGTGATTGTGTCGAATGCGGACTCTGACGACGAGTCCGCCGATGCGGTCACTCGCGAAGAAGTTATCGATAACAGCAAAGAGACGACCGGCGAAACAATTGGCGATAAGAGCGTCGAAACTGTTGCCACAAACGCTGGCACTGAAGCCGAAGTTGTTGTTTGCGACGAGAATCTGGTCAATGAAGAGAATACTAGCGGTGATAACAATGCGGTAAATCTGGCCGTAAATGAAGAGAATATCGAGAATAATGTCGTAAAGAGTGTTACCGTTAGCGACAATCACGACAAGACAAATGTCGACAATAATCTCGAAGACATTGATTCCGATGAAGAGATAGAAAGTGTTGACAAACCCATAGAGACTACTGAAGAGCCAATTGAGATATGCGGTGATATTCGCAGCGAAGACGACGAATGTGTTATCGTTGAGAAAGAGTCTGACAAAATGGGAACCGATGTCAACGACAACACCAATGAGATGTCAATTGAAAATTGCAATGAAAATGATGTGCCGCTCGATGTGGAGGACACCGTCGACAACACCGCAAGCATTACTCGTCAAAACGAGAGTCACAAATGTGACGACAAATTAGTGTCCAAATCAAGCGAATGCGATGACAGTAGCGAAGAGATCGATGTCGAAGAATGCAAAGCCGTGTCGCCGGCCGACAAAGCGGGCGACAAAAGGGAGACATCCGTCGAGATAGACGTCGAGGACATCAGTAGTGATGACGAAGACATCCACGAAAACAACGACAACAACAACAGCGGCAAAGAAGACGAAGAAGAGAGCGACGAATCGATTGATGTGGTGAACACATCTCCACCGCCGCCGACGACTGAGACCACGAAAGTGTCTGAAACGCGAATCGACGACAACGACAAAGACGTTTTCGATGCGAACTCCCAGTCCGACAAAGAGCTGATGATTGACGAGAATGACGACAATCAACGGCCAGAGACTGCGGCCACCACTCCGATGGCGGCCGACCAACAGCTGCCCGAATCGACAGTAGTGTTGGGCAGTGTTCAGCACCCGTTTGTCTCCTCGTCCGTCGAAGACATGCCTAACAGTCCGTCCACTGCGAGCTCACTGGCCATCACGGGCTCAGCCGCGGCTGTCAGTGCGCCCGATGTGGCCGTTGAGCCACTAATCAAACACAAAGCACCGATTGGCGAGACTCGCGACTCGACCGGTGATGACCAGAGCTTTATGCCTAACCTGTCCGACGAGGACGAAGAGATGGTTGCGGTGCCGACTACTACCACCATAACCGCCATAAACAACGATAACACTACCGGTGCTAAGAAGCCTTCAGCCGACGCGGCAATCACTACAGACACTACGGGTCCAAACAATGGCAACATTTGTGATAATAATAAGAAGAATCATAAGAAGGGAATCAAACGAAGTGCTGAAGAAGTGCCTCAAAACCATATCTATTCCTCCGATAAGGACTCGGATTTATCGGTAAGAGCTTTGTGTGTATTCTTGTGTGAGTTTTGTTGTTTTCAAAGCCTAACAACGACTGAAAAATATTTGTTTAATAATGTATTAAATTTACATTAAATTGTAATTTAATCGCGAATTTAATGGTTAATATTCACGATATGTTTGCATGAATTTTATGTGGAATTTCTATTTTTTAATTATATTTTTTCCAATTATAACTATACTAACAGTAAGACTCAATATATCACTAAAACATATTATGTTATTATGTCCTCAAAACTTCACTAATGTATTGATTATAATGTAAAAAAATCGCTGTACTTTCCTCTTATGACATTTGTTTCATATGCTCTCTCTCTCTCTCTCTCATAGAATCTGATGACCAGTTGTGGGCACTTATGTTTGGCCACTTCCGAGAGGACGATAGACTGCTTNTGTACTTTCCTCTTATGACATTTGTTTCATATGCTCTCTCTCTCTCTCTCTCTCTCTCTCTCTCTCTCTCTCTCTCTCTCTCTCACACACATCGCCTGCCATATGAAAAATGTTTTGAAACATTTTCTGTGATAGTATTTCAGGTTTTCATTTAATGCCAACTATTTTAGCAAATGTTTTACTATTTTTCAAAAGTATACTCTATATGTTTACTCTATGCTCTCTCCTGTGTCTCTCTCGCTCTCTCTCTCTCTCTCTCACTCTCTCGCTGTCCAAACATGACTTGTATATAATGTCTCGCATTTAAATCCAATGACTTTTACTATTGGCGGGGGTCTAAACACCCAGTAATATATGCCATAACTGTTATGTCGTTGAATACTATAATTACGGTATGAATTGAATTGAATATTAATTTTTAATTTAAATTATGATTTCTCTCTTTTTTATATTATTTGAATCGCTTGTGTCGTGTGTAATGAATACGTGTTGTTGTTGTTGTGAACGCCCCGTTGTGTCCGTTGCCGTGTGTCTGTCGGCCGTGTAATTGTGTCCACCATTTGCTGTGAAACCTCCGTTTGCTATCCCATAATAAACAGGAAACTATGGAAATTAGAAATCATTTATTGATATGTCATAAAAAGGTATTGTTTTTTGTGTCTAATATTTTTTGATTACGATATTTGTTTTGCAATGTCTTTGCCCTCAATGTGTAACACGAGTTGTGTTTGCTTTGGGGGACCACTTCTTGTGGTCTATCTTTGAGTGATTTTTAGTTTTTTTGCTTTTCATTGATTGGATATTAATTATGCGATTGTATTATATTTGGTGTGTTTTTAGAAATTTTCTTATTTAGTTTTGTTTTGTTTTTTAGTGTTATTTAGTGTTGTGTGTAATCCATAGTATAAGTTGGCCCACAAAATGCGAGTGTGATTTGTGGCATACCTGCAAAACTACGGCTTATAATCGCTATAGTTTTTATTAGTGTACACCCGCTTATAGTGAAGTGTTTGGCAGACGTTTTGAGAGATATTTGCTGAAAAAATTACTTTTTTTTACATTTTTCATTTGAATATTTGTTTTATTCAATTTATATTCAAACAGTTTGTTGTCAAACAAATAGAAAAAGTTTGTTTAAAATGTGTCGAGAGTTGTCTGTTGTGATAGTTTTAGTGGCAGTGCTAACAGTCCTTTACACTCCCGGTCCTCCCCAGCGCTCACTCACCCCTCATTCTCTCTCTCTCTCATAGAATCTGATGACCAGTT